TCGCACATCATCATCGATATCTTTGTCCCGTTAATCAGCACTCGACTTCCGCAAAACCACGGCTCTGTGCATGATTTGTCACTTCGTATTGAACCGGACGATCGCTAGTCATGGCAGGGGAGTCTGTCATGCCCCCCCTCCCCTCCCCATTCCCTCCCTCTCCTCCACTTCGTCTGCCTTTCCCTCCACTTCACCTCCTTTTCCCCTCCGTCTCTCTCTTTCGTTTTCTACACTTATCTCTCCCCCCCTCACCCCCGTCCTCCTCCCCTCCACCCTTTCACTTTTCCCCACCTCTCCATCATTCCCCTCCCCCCTCCCTTCTCCCTCACTCCCTCCTTCCCCTTCCCCTCCCCCTCCCTCCTTCCCCTCCCCTTCCCTCCCTCCTCCCTTCCTCCTCCCTCCCTCCTTCCCCCCTTCCCCCTCCCCCTCCCCCTCCCCCTCACTCCCTCTCACCCTCCCTCCCCCCCCCACCCCCCAACCGTTCAATTGAAGACCGTGAGTTCGTATTCGTAAGCGAGGAATCGACGGCGGGGGGTGGGGGGGTGGGGGGCAGCTGCTGTTGGGGGTGATAGGGCTGGGGGGGGTTGGGGTGTGATGGGGGGGGAGAGTTGGGGTGGGAGTTGGCGGGTTAGTAGGATAGTGGGGGGTGATGGGGGAGGGGGGGAGGGGGGAGTGGGGGAGAGTTGGGGGAGAGGGAAGGAAAAGAAAGAAGAGAGAAGAGAGAAGAGAGAAGAGAGAAAAGAGAAGAGAGAAAAGAGAAGAGAGAAGAGAGAAAAAAGAAAAGAGAAAAAAGAAAAGAGAAGAGAGAGAGAGAGAGAGAGAGAGAGAGAGAGAGAGAGAGAGAGAGAGAGAGAGAGAGAGAGAGATATGACGTGTCCTCTCCCTTACTCACCTCGCCTTATCTGTCCCTCTCCACCTGCGTCGTGATAAACAAACAAACAAACACTCAGCATTGTGACACAAGAGACAGGGGAAGGGAGGTATCAGAGAAGGGGGTGGGGGGGG